TGTCTGTTTGGGGGAGATAATCAATCCTCTGACTGCTACTTCTGACTATATGGTTGTGACTGACATGAAATGGCAGCAAGAAGAACAGACTGTGGTGTATCTGAGGAATTTGCACTCTGCCATTCCATTATCAATGTAAAACAAAAGGAAGGCTAGTGAATTGCTTAAAGTTGATCAGTGAAACTGTTGAACATAGCACTCAGATATTCTAGTGGGAGGACCATGCCTCATTACATTTACTCACATATTACAGTAGCAGTGCATAATTCGGAGCTACATCTTTAAAATGTTTGTTATTTTATGGAAACTTTGAAGACCTTGGAAGGGAAAACATAGCGCTAATAACTATCCCACCTTGGTAGAATGACTTGAATTTCTAAAATTGACAAAATGTAATTAAACTTTGATATTTACTGAAAATGGAAATTATTTAGTAAAATAAGACTGTTATAGATTATTGATGGTAATTATATTCTCTCATATACATATAAAAATATATTTTAAAGATGTATTAATTTGCTGCATGTTAATTGTTGCTGGGTAAATAATCCTGCTTATTTGTGTTTTTTAAAATAAAAAATAATGAAAATCAAATATTTACTGAAGTGCTCAAAAATATCCTCAAGACATTTACATCTTATATGTTTCTGTGTGTGCATATTTAATAATATGTCTTTATTGTTTAATATTATATTTGTCCCAAATTTTCTTGAGAAAATTGGGAAATTTAATCTTTTTTTCTTGCTGTCTCCAATAAGTATTTTTAAGAAAATATTTGTCTAGATATAAGAATACTTCTTTTTGATGATAAAATAGGCTTATGGGTAATAGTAATATGTTTTTCTACATTAAAGGTGTCTTTCTTTCTCTCATCAGTTAATGTGTTATTACCATTTCAGATTGTTATTAACTTGGCTGACTCTAGATATTGCTGTTACTTTTAACTGACATACAGATTTTACATCTAAATGAACAGAAATGTTCTATAGGGAAATGCATCATGCCTAAGGACAAATTAATCTATCTTCCACCAAAATAATATAGTATCCCTGTTTGTACACAATACTTATTTACTTATTTAGCATGATTTTCATGGTGATGTTTTATGTCTTTTAATTTTCTTAACTTTGGTAGCAATGCTGAAATAATACAGAGTTTTTCAAAGTTAAACTTGTCCCTTGCCCATTATGATGAACATGATAATCACAGAGTTGTCATATAATTACTTTAAATTTGTTATATTGTACTATATTATATTTTCTGATGTTCAGAAAATTTCAAGATATTCTACATACTTTATTAAAAGAGTAATGCTTTTGCTGTTAATCAACTTACTGTTTCCCACAATATGAATATAAAGGAGGTGTTCCTTGCCTCAAATCTGAGATTATACTTCTTGCCTTTCAGAGATATATCAAAGTTTTTTCTTAATGTAAGATAACAGCTTTATAAAGAAATCATTTATTTATAAAAAGGAAAGAAGTATAGCTAATTCCTAAATGGCTTTACTTTTTATAAGTTTATTTTTCAAGAAAATGTATTATATCTGCTTATGGCATCTTTACAATCTAAACATGAAATAAATCTTGTCAGATTTAACTAGACTGTAAGTTCTGACTTACATTCTAGGACAATTTTCATTAATATCTAAATATTACTGTGAAGTTTTGCATTGTGCTGCTTGCTTGCTGTTTTTCATTTTATTGAGTATTCTTAGTAGCCTATTATACCTGGAGAGATACTCTCTTGATTTTATGGTGACCTGGAGCTCTATCATCGAGACTGTTGAATATAAGTGGTTATAGGAAAGAATGCCCACTGACCTATTCTTCCCTGTTATACTCCCGTGTAATGTGAGGATAAGGGAAATCAGAAGCAAAGTTAATGAAATAAATAGGAACTTGTGCCAGACACTCACAAAATTTTTAAAGTCTTTTAAGAACAACTGTACTGAGAAAAATTATTCAAAATGGTCAGTTTATTAGATGATTGTAAAATGTTTTTCCCTTAGAAATTCTTATCTCAAAATCTGCATGTGCTATTTATTTGCTTTTAAAGCTAGATTGTGACAATACTGGCTCCTTATGATACTGTCAGTCAGTGAGTTGGTTCTCTTTGTGGAGGGGCTATTAAACAATATCCTCTGCAAATGCTTACAGATCGGAATAGTGGCCACTAAATAACGCAGAGCAGTAATCTGTACCTGCTCATGTAAATGGCATATACAAATATGAAACTTTGAAACATAAGTTAAAACATAAACTATTTATTAAAAAATAGAACCATAACAAATATCAATCACTTTTTAAAAGACAACCAAATTATTTACCTAAGAAACATTTAAATTGACAGTTGATTGGTTCCTAACCTTTTAAATGGCTTGCCCTTTGGCAATCTTGTAAAACCTATGACCACCCTTTTTAGAATAAGGTTTCAAAATGGATAAAGTAAAATCAAGTAAATAAGTAGAGTTACAAAGGAAAGTACTTATATTGAATACAGACCCCAAGCTAAGAAATCCAGGTAAGCACTAGAATATTTTATGCCTTGCAAATGGCTATTATTTCCCATGTCTCAGTTGCTACTATTGAAAAGGAATTATTTGTAAGTTCTTATCTTAATATTAAAGTTCACTAATAATTTAGTTGCCAAGTTTTATATCTCAATAAAGAACCTACTATGAGACTTAGGCATTTGTAATATTCTAATACTAAATATTATCTAGTAACGCATATTCTTACGTAATGGGAGCAGGAGCCTATCTTGGCCTTCTGTTGTGTTATCAAAGTTTAAAATATGGTAGCTTTCCATCCTCTTTAACTGTGACAGAGCATTGCAATAAATGTCTACCTTCTACTGTGTCTCTTTTCAGGTTTCACTTAACGGATTTTCATTTCACACTATTATATAATTCATACTATTTATGAATATGGAGAGAAAACTAAAAGTAAAATGTATATTAACTACAGTCTTTAAACAACTTTTTCACCAAAGAGATTTTTTTTAAGGGATACATTTCTTAAGGAGTAACCTGTTTGCTTCATGAATAATAGTGGCCTTTTAAGGACATTTAAGATAGCAACACATTTGAAATAATTTTCTGAATTTCATTCACAATCATGTATTTCAGTGGTTAAAAGTATAGTGTCAAATAAGTGGAAGTGTATATCCTAGCATTTCACTCTTTCTACTTAGAAAAATTGCTTGATAGAACCAGAATAAATCAAATTTTACATGAACAAATGAAATATTAACCTATTTTTCTGCTAGGGTAATGAAAGATGTTTCACAAAGGTTTGTTCCTATGTGTTATATAATAATTTTATTATTAACTTAAGATAATAGGAAATCTGAAAATGTAAAGATTAGTACTCTCCAAAAATAGGTTTTAAGGAATCTAAGATATATATATACATCTTTGATACTAGTTATCTATTGTGATGCAGATATACAAAGATATATACAGTAAAAGCATTTAACAAACTATTGAGTGTATTTATTTCCAAAAAAAGTGTTCTTTCTAGAATAGTTTTTCAGGACCCAAAACAGCATTATGATTTCTTACATAGTCAGGTTGCTTTTTTCATTTCTCCCAGTGATTGGATATTGTATATTTATTTACATTTAATGTCAGCTTTTTGGACATATTCTGGATATACTTATGTAAAAATACTAAACTTAGGAAATCAATCATATTTGGTTCATGGATTTAAAAATATTAGAAATTATTTGACTTATGTTCCCCTATGAATTTAAAGTATAAAATAATCACAAGATATGTTGTAGAATAAACCCGGGGTTCACTTCCTAAAGTCACCTAATCTCGTGTCTAGTGATCTAGAATTGTATGCCATATAATTAATTATATTTGGGAAATTGTGTCCTTTTTTTTTTAAATTGCTTCTATTTTTCATTATCAAAAATAAGATTGAGAGAACTTATAGGTAAAGTGGAAGTCCTTGATACATTAATCTTGAGAGGGGCTAATGCTTGATTTGCTGTCTATAACATATAAACATTTCCATTACTGTGGTTATAACTAGGTGGAGAGGTAATAATTTGATATGAAGTATACTTTGGAGTATATATTACTTTGGTGTTTTAGAGCCAAAGCTAGTATTTTTAGGGTTGTCTCACAGACTATGGAGCTGGTGTTACACTTGTTTTCTCAACATTTATTGATTACATGTTGGGTATAAAGCATTATGCTAAACTCCAGGGATTAAAAAATCAATAATGTAGATTAAATTTAAGTATACTTCTTCAACAAGAATTAGGTTTTGATATTGAATTTCTTTATGATCAAAGAAATCACATTGTTTCAGTACCATTATTATTTCACTCAAGTAATATTCATTCTGAATTTTATTGGTTGGCATTGCTAAAGTGCACTGAAATAGATGGCATAGGTTTGCTGATTAACCAGCTTTCTATATACTGATTTTTCTTGTGAATCATCTTTAAATATGGCTGTAGACTGCAGAGATGCACTGTTTTCTTACACACTTTGATTCTTCTGTTTGAATGCTCAAGTGTATCAGTATGCTACAATTGTGCTGAAAGCTTTTTTATATCATGGTTTATATATGAATAAATAACTCCAGGGGCTGGAGAATTAGGGCTTATTCAGCTCCTTCACTCTTCTGAAAATGTTAGGAAAAGTCACTGGATTCTTTTAAAATAGAATACTTCACATATTTCACATATTTCATTTAGGGAATTCATTTTGGAAAGCAGGCAGTTTTGTTTGTTATTGATTATAACTGAGCAACTCTTATTATTATCTTTACTGAGAATTGCTGTTAAAAGCAGGTTTGGGTTCCTTAAAAATTCTTAAGCAGTTTAGTGAGAAGTTGCTCAGAGTATGTTGGGGAAGAGAAATTTTTTACATACTCAATAATTTTAAACAATTACCTTTTTCAAAATCAGTTTGATGCATCATAACCAAATAGCAGAAGGGCACTAAAGATCACTGAGCTGCTTTTTGACTAACGTTTCAGGGATTGTGAAGCAGCAGATAGACAGCCATATCACAGATCCAGATCAACAGAACAACGGCCTCTCCTAGAGCGGACCTCCACCCGCTCCAGATCCACTGAACGTCCTGATACAAACCTCATGAGGTCGATGCCTTCATTAATGACTGGAAGATCTGCCCCTCCTTCACCTGCCTTATCGAGGTGAAAGATAAATCCATCAGACTAACTCTTCCCCTTTGCCCCACCAGCACACCATTTTATTTTCCCAGCAGATAAATGGTCTCTTCTATCATCCTTGGCTGATCACTAATAACAATCAATATTAACCTCTTCAATGTAAGCACACTATTTATATTCAGTGGATATAATAGTGTGTGGCTCTCATTGTAATTTGTTTATTAACTGTCCTGACTGCATTTGTTTTGTGATTTCTCATTTATCAGGAGTCTTGGGTAAATTCCCACATAACGCACCTCATAACTATCATGTTCTTCTCCTACAGAATGAGAAATGTTTGTGTCCATTAGATATCACTTTTGGAATAATCATAACAATGAATGAAACCAGATTTTCAGTTTCTTTCTATCAATATTAATACCACATATTAACCAATATCTTCTTTAGTCGAATTTTGAATTGTTCTGGGTTTTATTTTTAGTTTCATGAGATATTTTCTAATAAAAGGATATCTAGCATAAGCCTGAGTAAATATCTCTTTGGATCAAGGGAGGGAGGTTAGTGCTTAAGACTTTGAAATCTGGTAGAAGAAGTATAAAGCATTATGTTTTATTTCTGAGCAGCAGAACTTTCCTCTTGCTTTTATATGGATAGAATACTAATTTACATTAATAATTCCATGGATTTTACTGTAGGACTTTGTGTGCATGTATCTGTGTATGTATGTATATTACATAAAAGTATAGACATCTTTTGCTATTTAGATAATCATTCAAATACCCATATTTTGTCCTACTTTCCTAACCTTTGATCAGCAGCTAAACCTCTTTTAAAATTGCACGTAAACAGCTATCATGTGAAGCAAATGTGCTAACATTATTTAACTCATCCTATTGAAAATTAATATTAATGGTATATCTTGTAGGTCTCATCCTCGTACTGGGTCTGTCCAAACAAGCCCATCAAGTACTCCAGTGGCAGGACGAAGGGGCCGACAACTTCCGCAGCTTCCATCAAAGGGAACACTAGAGAGAAGTAAGTTTTATTTCTAATTATGTCATGTAGGAAATACACATGGAAGCTAAGGTGAATCAATATTTTTTTTTACTACTTTTGTGCTAGTTTTTTCTTTCATTAATTGAACGCCTTGTCCACATTTGCTAGTAGTTATATTTATAAATATGTTTATAAATATTATATATTTACATTTTAAATTTATAGTATTTGGAAGTAAAATAACCAATCATTGCTTTTGGACATTTTTCATATTTGAATAAATGCATTTTAAAAGTAAAATTAATATTCTTAGATAAGCAGTTGGATGATATTTCTTTGCTACAGCTAAGTTTATGTAATTATCGATAGTTACATAAAGTTTCTTAGTAACTAGCCAAATCAATTTTCACACACTGCAAAGGACTGGTTAGCTGATGCACAACAATGGTGATCCTTCTCAAAACTGGAGTACCAGAAAAAGGTAATCATGAATATACAAAGAAAGATGCATGTTGTACTGATATTTTTAATACCTTAAAATTTTTGCTTAAGAGGCACTATTGTTTATACACAGATGAAAATACTCCCCAAACATCCATAAATTCTGGGATAAAGGACCTCTAAAAAGCATGGATGATAGAATATAATAATTTTGACATAATTTTTTTAAGTGGTCCCATTATTTGGTAACTGGATGTGCTTTGCCAAAAAATTTTATATATATATTTAAATCACCATTTAACTTTTCTTTAATAGATGATACATGCTGTGCCTTTGGAAATTTCTGTTGTTTTTAACCCCTGTGCTTTGGTTCCCTTTTTGTTTTGTTTTTATTTTGTTTTTCCTAGACAATGGAAGCAAGGAGATAGAATCTTATGAAGGTCTGTACATAAAGCAGGGTTTGTTTTGTGCTGACAGCCTTTTTGGGGGGCTGTGTAAGCAAAAATAAACCCAACTGCAATTGGTGTCCCTCCACTGAAAGGGCTTTTATACACAGCAAAATTATTCTGTTTTTAATTTTTGATAAAGTATTCGACTTTAATTTTACTTGAAAATTATACCAAGGAGTTAAATTTCTTTGGTCATGTCAATTAAGAATGCAAGGAGTTTAACTTCTTTTGAATGACAAGATGAAATTTTCTCTTAAGAAATTTAATTTTCCTTTAAAGTAGAATCCTATGTTTTGTGCAAAACTTTAACCAGAGATATCAATTGCAGTGTATGTTTATGTCATTGAGGATGTACACCTAGTCTAGTTATATTTTACATCATATATTTCATTTTGTATTTATGATCTTTTAATTATCAAATTTGGCTTTGTAATAAAGAAAGTTGTTGAATTAGATAGTGATTGTGGTTTGTATTTTCTACAATTTTTCATGTTGTAGCAAGACTATTTATATATATAAAAATTAAATATATACAGTTTTATTATCAGCACTGCATTATGACTCAAGAGAAAACACTGAGTTTTGATCTATGGAGTGTCATATATTTACTGAAACAAATAAAAATTCCTCTGCCAATTATAGAATTCTGAAATTGATTTTGTAACTTTAAAGAACTGTTAGCTTCTATTTACTGATGAATTTCCAGCACATAGAATAATGTCTGGCATATTACAGGCCCTCAATAAATGTTTGTTGAATGAATGCATGAAATATTTCTTTAAAAACTGAAATGCTTCTTCAGATAGTATATAAAGTACCACTGAAATAATCTTGTCAATCTATACACGTTTATGTTAAAATTCCTTTTTCTATAACCTATTTGTAACAAATTTTTAAGTACACTGCCTTTGAGCAGCACTGCTTTTATTGCCTTATATAACTTGGAGCAGGTTTTGTTCTTCTTAATTGTGGTTCAGTGACTTACTGACTTCTGTTTTGTGGTCCTTTCTATTTACCATGTATGATGATTTTAAACAACTCAAGTGTCTATTACGCTGCTGATAAAAAGATGTCAGCAGCATTTGCATAAGAATTGGTGTGTATAATTTTAAAAGTGCATTCCATAAGGAAAGTTCTGTAGTACATAGGGAATTTTTTGTCTCCTTGGGAGTTTTAAAAATAGAGTTTTAATGTCATTTGTTGCATATAAAGTCAGAAACATAGTTTATGTCACATTTTTAAAATTCAGTTTTAATGTCTTTTACAACAATAGTCTGTTGTGATATGAATAGTTCCATTCTTTGTAATGATAAACATGCCAAAAAAACTGACATATAGCTGATACTTAAAGTATGGGTTGAAGTTTTTGTCAGGTTTGTCAACAGATATTCTGTATACTATCTATACTATTCTATATAAAAAATTTTCCTTTAATATAGTTTTTCTTTAATGTCCTCAGTTGCACTTTTCCATTTTTATACATAAAATAGAGGAGACCCAAAACATCTCTTATCCTTTTCAGTATGAAATAAAAGGAATTTTTGGGTTTTGTTTTTTGTTTTGCTTAAAAGTATGGATGGTTTTAACAGTGTTTACTTAAGTGTTGATACTAAGACTTCAATAGATATGATTGTATAACTTCTTTAGCTTTGAAGGAGGTACGTAATATCTCTTTTAGAAGTCTGTTGATGGTCTAAATCAAACTGTGTTTGGATTATCTCTTCAAAAGTTGCCACAAGTTGTAGTTTAATGGTATTATTTTAGAATCAAAGAAATGATGTCTGTTTTCTAATTCTGTTCAACCCCTAAAGAAACAAGCAAGTTCTAATTTAATTCATGTTTATTTTGATTATGTTATATTTTAGTCTGTTAATTAAATTAATTAAAACCTTTACATACATTGGTCTTGATGGTGGAGCAGTACAATGAGAACCAGAGAAAATAGGAGCAGTTATAGTACAGTGGACTAAGCTGCAAGGCATTTGCCCTCCTAACTTTGATAAACTAGAATTTTATAAAAACAAGAGTTTATAATATTATTATTTTTTGTTTCTCTTGAAGGACAGTTATATAATATTATTTTTCTAAGAATGTATCAAGTTTATGGACAAAATATTTTTCCTACTTTACAGTTATCACATATTGCCAATGTTTTAGGGGCCACAGTTTCTCTTTTACAAATCAAAGTCACCATGTGATACTTTACTAACAGTATAGTGATTTGCTTTCATAACTTGTCAGAAACTCATTAGAAGTATTTGGCTAGTCTCCTTATAATCACTTGTTATATCATGAATAATTTGGAATTTTTTGTTTCGTTTCACTGAAGAGTAACAAATATACATATCTGGTCTTATCTTTTTCACTTTTACTGTGTGAATACAGAAGTTAATGAAGAAACTGGGCATGTGGAAGAACAGTGGGGAGAAAAGCAGGGTGAAGAGGTCAAAGCAGGTCTGTCTGACTGTGTGTCCAAAATAAATAGTTGAGTGTTTTAGAAGTATTATTTCTCAATTTCACCTAAGACTTTGGGGACCAAATTTATAAATGTACAATAAGAAACAGGTTGTTTTTTCAGTACAAATTTAAAAATAAATTACCTAATTTTATTAATGCAGAAATATTATCTAAGCTGTCTAGGTAAATTATCAGAGTATTTAATTTACCTATTTGAACATTTTCCTCAGTGTTTTAATCAAACTAGAATTATAGACAGTGCCTCTGACCAAAATTTCTATTTCTCACCCCAGCTTTACATTTGGCTTACTTATTTATTCAAAAATATTTGAATACTCACTAAAAAACTAAAATTTACCATGTGTTACACTGAGGAAAAGTGCGCTCCAGCCTTAGCCTCTTCTCTCAATAATTTTGGTTTGCTAGAGGCAGGTCACAATTAATATAAAGCCAGAGTATAAATTCCATTCCAAAACTTTCAGAGCCTGTCACCATTTTATCCATAAACTTTTTTCCTAAAATAAAACAATTAACAATAAATTACTCTTCTTCAGCCTAGCTCAATATTGTTCTATACTTACTGGAACTCTTAATTTCTCCCTAAAAGTCGTCTTTCTATAGAGTATGGAGACTCTTCATTTTCATATTTTTAAGTCTTTACTATGTTTACATATCATAATTTTAACACTTCCTTTGTCAGAATGCCTCTGAAAGGATTTAAAACTTAAAATATTATGTAATCAGTAAATATATTCATGTACTTTCATCAAATTTTCACTATTTTTTTGAAACTTAGATGTGAATCCTAATCTTATCTAGGCTGTCAGGTTTAAAATTTTTTTTTAAAGTTCCTTGAACAATGCAGCATAACCTTAGATCTAATTTTGCCTTGTTGAGTTCATCATTTTCTATTCATGAGTAGTAGTGTGTACTTTATATACCTTTAGTTCTATCCTTTACTACTGTGTGAAAGCAGTGCCATTATGTATATCATGAATGAGATGTATTTTCATGGATGCATTCTCTCAGTTGTGTTTGTAGTTTAAGACAGAAGAACACATAAGCAGCAATTGTTAATTACCAGTAACTATTATTAATGTCATAATGATGAGAATAATCAGAGTACATCTGATCATGAAAACAAAGGCAGGTGTAGATGCATATTTATAGAAATGTATAATCTTTGTTCTGAATATCTAATATTACAACTACATAAATGTCACAAATCATCCATTTTCCTGAAATGCTACAGTAATAACATTTTTATGGAATCAAGAATGAACTTCAGCTTAATTTAGCTGTGAAGTTAATGTTTTCCTATTTGCTCATTCCTGTAAGTGTCATACTAGTCCATACAAATACTGAAATGCTTTCACACTGTTCATGAATTGCCTTCCACAGCAACATCACTTTTTAGTTTATCATTAGTTTGGATACTTCAGCAGGAGTTAATATCATTTTTATTTATTTTTAATTTAATTAAGATAAGTGTATTTGTTGAACCACTTTATTGCCTATGCTTTATTCTCAAAATTAACTTAATTAGTGAATTAAATAATTTCTCAAATTAGCAGTGCACCATAACTATAATCTTCCTGGCATATTATACAATAACTCTTTAGTCTTTTATATTTGTTTTTATTTTCTCATAGGCTAGGAAGGATATAGTTTACTCCTGTGTTTATTAATGTGAGATGTCATATTTAGTGCATGAATTTGTTTCTCTAGTAGTGTGATGTCATTTTTTATAGTGTGCTTGGTTTTTATTTGGGTTGTTAATGACATAATTATTAATCGTTATTGTCTGTTTTCAATGTTATAAAGACAATGAAGCAGAAACACCTAGCCCACCTAATAATGGGAAAAAAGGCAAGTCTAATATGAAATTGAGTGCATTTCCATATATTAGACACTCAGTATTTGATATTAGTGATATGTGGGATAGGCTTTCTTAATAAGTATAAATACTAGTATGGATCCCAATTTAAATGATCCAATATTTAAAATGTCAGCTCTTTTCAGTATGTATTTATGAATATGAAATTCATTTTTAAAATAATTATCTTTTTACTGAATCTTGGTACAGTGCTATTTTGAGATGTATGGCATTAAAATCAGAAATTTTCTTGGCCATGTTAAGAAGTAAGATTCTGAGGAAAATAGTGTTGGTCATGTTATCATGTGTGTAGAAAAGCACAACACAGATATTTTTCAAACCAGAAACTTTTAATATTGAACAATTTTAAAAAATATTTTAAAACAGAAAATGCACTTGATTGTGAGTTCAGCAATATTAAACAAACGTAATTGTAGATTTTCAGTTCTACACATATTAACATCATTAATTAAATCATATAAAATGATTTGTCATTGAAATGTCCTTTAGTCTTGAATATGTTTTTTCTTTCTTCCCTTCTTTCTTTCTTGTGTTCATCTCTTATAAATAATGTCTAAAATGTCTAAAATATGAGATTTAATTAGCACCAAAATAAGTTTATAATTTTTCTTACTGTGGAGTGTTAATTATTCATTAA